CAAGTCGATGTGTTTATTCATACCGGAAAAAACGTAAGTGCATATTTAACTAAGTTAACAAGTCGATGTGTTTATTCATAAATCATTTTGTTATACATGTTTTTTACATTGTTGGTTATTAGTACATTAACCAATTTTAATTCAGTTACAAAATTGAGATGATCGTGATGGATGACACAAATGCTGCATCATTCATCGCCTTTGGCAAACAAGCGGAAAAATTAGTCAGTGTTGATGCCGGAGCTTTAATCCGTATCATGGAAGAAAGAGTAAGCAATTAAATCTATCTAAAAAATTATAACACATTTTTACATGTCTATTAATGAGGTATATAAAGAACCCTAAATATATTTTCTTAAGATGTGTATTACTTTTTCGGCCCCATTATTTAGGGTGAAGATCCTAATAAATATCCTGCTGAACTCGATGGATTGATTGATAAGAAGTTTCTGTTCAAAGTCAATGTCAAGCACAATAACATTGATGACCCTGAAAATTCTACTTATAGTATTCTAACAGTCTGCAACGACAGTGCTATTACTGATTCATTCATCAAAAAGTACCAGTTGGATGAGGTACATAATTTAATATTGTTTTCTCCAACATATTTTTAATTTCTTATATCCTATTAAAATATATTTTCAATTTTAATGTGTATATGCAGCAAGTTAATACTACTTCACCCCATGCAAGTGTCGATGATAGTTCTTCGGTCTGTATGTTGTCATCAAAGGTTGGTAGTATTCCAATTTACTAAAACATTAGTATTAATTAATTACAGTTCGTTCAATTGTATTTTATTAATGGATTATGTAACATTTCAATATAGGAAAACGAGTCCTTAACTGTTTCGAAGGATTCAGTTTTCGATTCATCGGCAGTTGAAATCACTCCAATAAAGAGAAGTTTGGGTTTCAGTCTTGATTCGCAAGAGGATGAGAATACCCCAATGCATTCGACCACTGTTCTCTTGAAGAAGATCAAACAGGAAAAAGTGGAATATTAACCTTGGTTTTAAGCATTACTTATTGTTTCCTTTGACATACTTTTTTTTTCTGTGGTACTTAGTTCGTGGTTTTATTCACTAAGACCTTTTACGTTTTTTTTTGTTGGGTATTTTGCACTATTTATTTATTTGAATTAACATTTAATATTATAATCAATAATTCTATTTGTTAGATTTCTTCTATATAATTTGTAGAATGTTTTTATCTCAAATCACTAATGTGTCTTTTACTCCATTTAATCCATTAAAATACAAGTGCTATCTCTCCTCTCTAATTTTTTTCCCTTTTTTTTTCGTAAAAAAATTGTTTTTTTACCTAATGTTATATGTTGTTTATATAAAAAGTTATATTAAAATAATAAATACTATTATATTCTAAATAGTATAAAATAATATTTTTTTTAATTGGATAATTCTGTTAAACAATTAATCAAAAGAAGTGCTCGAAACAAATAATTTAAGAGAAAACAACCAAACAAAATAGCATACATTTAGTTAAATAAATTTACTAAAAAAAAACTAAAACAATATTTTTTTTTAATTATTTAACCCAATTCAGTTTTATTTATGCTACTAAAAATTTAATGGCAAATAATTTAATAACAAAATTAAATTAAAGCAAAGATAATAAAAATAAATTAAAACAAAAATAGAAAAAAAATAATAGCAAAATTAAACCGGAAAATAAGTCCGAATTGAAATTTAATAACAAAAATAAATTAATTATATCTTAATACTTAAATCCTAAATTTATTACCCTAAATAAAAATCAGCAATAAAAAATAGTTAGCATATCATAAAGTACGAGTAGGAATTCTAATGTGATCTGACTACTGTCTACATTAAGAATAGTAAATTAATCATGGTTTAGTAGTAATGGAACAAACGTAAATTATGGATGTAGTAACAATGTGAAATCTAATTTAAAATTTACGATGAATACTCCTAATTTAGGAGTATTCAATCTTTTAAAAAGTGGGTCCCACTAAAAATCTAATTTAGGAATG